GTGGGGTGAGGGAGCGATCTCTTTCATAAGTGGGTGACTGAGGCAGAGCAACACGAAGAAGGGAGGACAGGAAAAAGAGCAGGTGCCGGAGAAAGACATCAGGAAGAAGAGCAGGAGCTGAGAGGAGCGGTGTTCTCCGACATCCTCCGTCAGCCCTGGCAAAGTGGCCCGTCGAACCGTTGTCGGATAAACTATTCAGTTGCGTATGAAAGTCTTGGATGTCAGAATGTGATATTTGTCTAGTCTGCAGTGGGAAACTTTATAGTGAGTATAGCCTGGTTAGAGTTTGCTATTTGTATCCCAACTGCCTGCTAGTGAAACCCCTCTTCCTTTCATTCTTGTTTTACCTAGCTACTTTGATATGGTATCAGAGCGTCTACGCTCCTGGCCTGTGGGCCCACCTGCTTCCGTTGCTGTACTGTCTGTCTCGCGCCCCGTGGCGCGCGACGTTTTTTCTTCCTGCCACGCGCTCGGGGCGCGTGGCGGTTTTCTGCCCGCCACGCGCTCGGGGCGCGTGGCGGTTTCCTGTCAGCCGCACGCCCCGGGCGCGCGCGGCAGTTTCATGCTCCGTCGCGGCGCCCCCGGGGACTCGCGCGTCGGCCCCCCGTTGCCCGTCGCGGCGCCCTCGGGGACCAGCGCGCCGCCCCCGTCGTCCGTCGCGGCGCCCCCGGGGCCTATCGCGCCGTCCCCGTCGTCCGTTGGGGCGCCCCCGGGGCCTATCGCGCCGTCCCCGTCGTCCGTCGGGGCGCCCCCGGGGACCCGCGCCGTCCCCCCGTCGCCCGTCGTGGCGCCCCCGGGGACCCGCGCGCCGTCCCTTGACCCCGTGCGCCGCGGGGCTGCTTCCCCCCCCCCCCCCCCTCCCCTTTCTCCTTCATCTCCCTCCTGCGCGTGTATGGGGGTGGCGGGCATGGGGGTGGCGGTTGTGTGAGCCGTTTCCTGCTCCTCCTTCTCTTCCGTCTCCCACTGCTACAGCTAACGCTGAGGGGGGTGGATGTGTGGGAGTCGAGGGAGTGGCGCTAGGGGGGTGCCGTGGGAGTGGAGCTAGGAGTGCATAAGGGGGTGTCTGAAAGGGGGTCTGCGACAGTGGGGGAGGTTGAACGGAGGTAGCCGTTGTGGAGCCAGCAGCACCAGTAGCCCGGATGCCCTTGCTCCGGTAGCCAGCGAGCCCGTTGCGCCAGTCGCCCGTGGGTCCGTTGCTCCAGCCGCTCGTCTTAGCCGCGGAGCCAGTTACTCCAGTAGTCCGGGGCCCTTGCTCCGGTAGCCCGTGTGCCAATTGCTCTAGTAGCCCGTGTGCCAGCAGCTTCAGCCGCCGCCTCCAATCTCCTCTCCTCTCACAGTCCCTCCTCCTCCTCACGACTTTTCTATGTCTCCCACTAGCTTTGCTTGTGCTTGTGAACTTATTATGTGACTGCTTGCTGTGCTGATTATACCCCACTTTGCCTATGGGGGTGTGTCAGAATGTGATGTTTGTCTAGTCTGTAGTTGGGCATTCTATAGTAAGTACAGCCTGGTTAGGGTTTGCTGTTTGTATCCCAACTGCTTGCTAGTGAAACCCCTTTTCCTTTCATTCCTGTTTTACCTAGCTACTTTGACATTGAAGTTGCTGCCCAGGCCTCCGAATGTCTCAAGCACAAGGGGGATAAGTTTGACTGCAGGTCGGGCACGCAATGCTGAAGCGTAGTGAGACTGTTTTTCTGTTTCTCGCTTCTTTCATGCTAGCCCAACTGTGTGTGCAACTGTTGGTGGAGTGGATGGTAGCTACAGGTCAGCTACGGAAACATCTAACAACCATTTGATTCCCGCGCAAGGATCAAGGCAAGTAACATCAGGAATGGCATCCGACAGCATGGTGTGATGCTCTAGCTCCCTAGCTATCCTTGCTACTTCGTGTTTCACATCGTCGTGGATATGAGTCGACTCGTGAAGGTCAGGACAGCGAAGTGCATGGCTAGGAATGGTGGGGTCAGTGAAGGTGTGGTTGCAAGAACATGGTTAGGCTGATTCCAGGATACGAAGGTGTGGGACAGGGAGGCCTAGGTGGATCTCTGCTGCAATTAACCAATCTTCATATTTAGAAAGCTTGCTTGGCATCGTCTCATTTCAAACGGGTTTAGTACAATTGAAATCCAAGCAATAGCATTACATTGGTGTGCTTATTCTGACTAGGCTATCCTGTTTCCGAGGGGGGGGGTGGGTGGGAAAATTGGCTAAACCGTTTGAAAATGAGAGACGTGGGTGGAGCGAAATGACCTCCAGCCCACGTTTTGTACTCCAAAACGAGCAATTAGCGCGGTTCGATGCTGCCCATTCCTACATTACAAGCAGCTTCGCTTTCAAAATACATAATTTTGAAAAGCGTTACAGCTTTTAAAAATATACATATTTAGAAAGCTTGCTTTCTTGCATGTAGCAATTGGCATCGTCTCATTTCACATGGGTCTTCTGAGATAGGTGTCGCGATAGTGGTCGTTGTGGCGTCAGTGCCGCTGAGTGTTGCTCT